TTTGGGAACATGTTTCAGATGAAATAAATTATACTTTTTTCTCTCTGCAAGTTTTGTAAGTAATATCAACCCTGCAGTAAACACTAAAAAAAAAGAAAAAAAGGCTAGTGATCAGCTTGAGGGGTTAATACATTGCTCAAGTTCAATTTAATTGTGCTCCTGTGTTCATGTTATGTTCACAGGAGGGCTTGGCTTGAAGGGAGTGTGGGTTTGACCAAAAGCACGGAGCTTTTGGTGCTTGTAGAGCAGTGCTCTCAGCTGCAGCGTTAGAAGATGGGCTCTGCGAAGATGAGTAACACTGGGCAATCGAGACTTGACTACTATGTCTCTTACGTTCACTGCTATAGCGTAGGTCTATTCAGCTATTCTTCTGCATGCTTATTTCCTTACTTCAGTAGTTCTTGCGTTGTATTCTGTTCATACTAACCTCAGCTTATTTTTCTGTTAAAAGTGTCAGTGTAGCTTTGAGGATTTTTGTTCTTTTTGGTTTTCTTTGCTCTGATATAAGCAGGTACTAAAAAACGTGTTCATTATCTACAAATGTAATGGTTTATATAAACATTTTTAGAGTCGTGGACTGTCAGTGTTCTGAAGCTCTGAAGACCTAAATGTTTAGAATTCATGCTAATGCTTTATTTCAGATCGAGTGAGTTTATATAGCAATACAAATCATTCTTCTAAAATCTGTGAAGCAAAGCTTCCAAGTGTCTCTTCCATTTCCTGGTATCACTATAAGATGCCTCAATAGAGGGAGCACTGTGTAATTTATGTGACTAGAAATAGTGTAGACAATATTAAATATTATTTAAATAAGGGTATTGTGCTTGCACATGTTAAACTAAGTTTAAACTGCATCTATATGTGGCTTGCACCATACCTCAGAATGGATGTAGGATGAGTTTAGATACAGGGAAAATTATGTTTTTGTAGTTCCAGTATTTATAAGCGTTTAAATATTTTTCTATAGCTTGTGACTCTGCAGTTTTGCACTATACACAAATTTCTTAATATAAGGCATATGTCTAAAACGGTGTTACTATTTTATGCATACTGCACATGTAGAAATTTGATTTAAAATCTATCTGGCATTTGTTAAGTCTTTTTCATGTGTTTAACTGTTAAATTTTTTATGTTTAACTTTTAAATAGTTTGATGTTTTGGCATGAGGTGATTTACAAGCATCTTCAAGCTTATTTCTCTCTAAATGTCCAATTCAGAAATACAGTTATTAGTCATATGACTTTTTTTCCTCACAGAGGGACTCAGTTCTATTATTTCAGCATTTGAAAGCACCTGTGTGTCTTCTCAGTGTTGTGTCAGAGATGGGGGCCTCATTAATTGTCTTTTGAGATGCTATTTAGGGGACAGCACTGGTGTATTAGTGCCTTGTGCCATCTTGAAAACATTGCAGGTGCTATTATGCCTCATAAAGCACAGCTGCACTGAATTATCCTGTTAATTTGAAGTCATCTTGTGCATTTATGGGAAAGCCCATTTAAAGACATGCTTGGGTTTATTATGTAATTATGTTGCTCAGTGCACTTTGTGTGACTGCCTTCCTAACTAACTGTTGGACTAATGCCTCTCATCTTTGTCATGCCTACAAGGAAAAAATAAGCATTTTGGGGAGAAAGTGTCTGAATAAGAAATAACTTCTTTTTGCAAACTTCTAGTGAAATCTCTAAAACAGAATTAGAGGCAGTCAAACACAGTAGCACTAATCTCATCTTCCTTTGCTTCAAAGGAACAGCAACATAGAAAAACCTGAGTAGAAGCAGCAGATGTCCTCTTGCACAACAGCGTGAAAAATTCAATGACGCAGTTTTTATCAGTGTTATTGCTATAGAGCTGGTGCCTAAACATGTCTCTTGCATGGTTTATCTGTTCCATTGCAGGCTGTTTCATCTTCCAGTGTCTTTGATGAAAATAAAGTTTGCTGAAAGGTATTGGGTAAATGCACATAAAGATTAACGCCCGTGTAAAAAAAAATTTTTTTTTTCAGTTACACAAATGTTTTTGCCTAATGTAGCTGTATAACAAATAATAATACTCTCTTGGAATGTTATAGATTAAAAGAACTGAGAATTTTGTGTTTTGCAATATTCTGGGATTACTAAACAGATTTTGTTAGAAATGTGAGCCACCTGACTGATTTAACAGCCTTGTGAGCCAGGCAGGTTTCCAGTCTGGTGAGCTGAGATGGGTTTAGATGTATATATGATGGCAGAACTGGCCTCCTGCTTCTTGCAGTCAGCTGTTTTATCAGTCCATGCTACCTCTACAATCTTCTAAGAAGACATTGAATGTGGCTCAGAGAAGGCAGTTTCCTACTGACAGTTAACTACCAGTTCCTGCATTTTGAAATCAGCCCCACTTCAGTGGTAGTTGACTAAGGAGGGATTGTCTTGTCAGTAAGACCTCAGCATGAGAATATATCTC